CAGCAGAGTAACAAAAATACTTAGTCAACGAAATTCAGTCGGCTATATTGGCGCTTGCGAATAAAGAAAAACGCAGATTTAAAGAGAAATTGAACCAAAAAAGTGAATTATTGTGAAAATATCCGAAATAGAATTGGACTTTGTTTTTTTTGCGGCCAGAAATTAAGAAGATTGACTATTTTCGTCGATTTTTTCGAAGTTTTCCAACGAACTAAACTGATTTTTTCCGAGTTTTCCAAAGAATTAAACCGATTTTTTCGAGTTTTTCAACGAATTAAACTGATTTTTTCCGAGTTTTCTAACGAATTAAACCGATTTTTTCAAAGTTTTTCAACGAAATAAACCAATTTTTTCGAAGTTTACAACGAATTAAAACGATTTTTTCACGTTTTTCAAAGGAAAAAAACGCTCAGCGATTTTCAACGATTTTTTCACGTTTTTCAAAGGAAAAAATGCTCAGCCGTTTTCATCGATTTTTTCTCGAAATAACACTCAACAAGTTGTATCAATTTTTATACGTTCTTTAAGAAAAACGTTCATCGATTTTCACCGATTTTTTCTCATTCTAAATAGGAAAAGACATTTAACGATTTTCATCGATATTTCTGTGTTTTGGAACGTATGTAGTATGAATTATGTAGTGAATTTCATTAATTTTTTCGTACTTTTTCGATTGGAATAAACAGTGACTTTTATCAAAATATTAAACGATTTTCAACAATTTTTATATGTTTTGTGGAAACTAACAGCGAATTTCATCAATTTTTTCGTGAAATAGAAAACATAACAGTTTATGAAATTTTTTGTGTAAAAACGAGTCAAATTTATGCAATTTTTTCCATTTCATCAAGACTAATAATATAACAATTTTGACGGTTTTTCTTTTAAATTAACGACGACAAATACATCAATTTTCATAAATAAAATTAAAATCTTTCATAAAAAACAGTGTAGTTAAATATGAAAAAATAAATGGGAAATGGAAATAGCAATCTGACAGGAGGTCTAAGAATCAGAGTCTTGATATTTGAAGAGCGTATATTGGACTAACTGGTTCAGGACTTTTTGGAGGACTTGTCCGTAACTTCGGCACGGAGAGAAATATATTAATTGATCATACACGTTGGGATACTCCATTTCCACATTTGGAAGACTACACATTCGAAACCGACGTGTTACTTGAGTCGATTGCACATCCTGAATTAATTTCAGCGGGTGAATCAAGTGGTGAAAGTGAGTCGGACAGCGAAGAGATATACAACATCAGTCGCGAATTGTGTGATAACTAGTTCGAAACTTCAAAAGGAAAAGTTGACATTTTGTTCCATATTTTTGTAATAAAAAGGAAAAAATTAAATGGGAAGCAGTCTTGGCTCTTTATCGGGCTTATTATCAATTAAAGTAATAATTTCAAAAACTCGAGTGTATGTCAGATTGAGTGGTAGTGGATTTTTAAGTGGAGTATCAAGGAACTTTGTGATTTCACGAGACCAGCGAAGTTTAACAATACCAAGTTTTCGGCGTAAACTTGAAATATATTCGTTCAACACAGTAGTATCGGTAGAAGCAGATTCGGATACTGAGGATTCGGATAAGGAAAACTAACTTGATATCAATTATATGGAAACAGTGGAACCAGACGAGTTGCGGATAACATTAATCATCGGAACGAGAACCATCAGCGTAATAATCAACGGAAGCGGTAATTCGAGCCATATCAGAGGATATTTTGAGATTAGAAGAGACACCACGTATTTGCAGTCAGAAGCTGAAGTTATTTGTTTGATCATACCAACGACAACAAAATAAAGGTGAGTGAATTTTCAATTTAATGAATCGGTCACAGGCGAGTAGGCTGGAAAATTTACAATTACCGCTTAAATTAGACCAATTGATTAGAGAGCTAAAAACATTGCAATCAAGGCTCAGAAACGCGGAAAAGAGAGACGACCTATTATTGATCGAAAGTTTGCGTAGTAAAGTAAATCATAAAACAAAGGAAGTAATTGCCAAACGTAACAGAATTGTTGAGTATTTGTTTGAGGGACATTTAACATTTAAAACTCTTCCATTAGAAGAACTCCTGAAAAAAGAGGAGGATATAGAAGCTGTTTTGAGGCTATCAAACCTGGATGAAAGAAGAGAAAATTATATAAATATTTTGAACGAATTAAAACAAGTTATCAAAGAAAAATCGAAATTAAGATCTCTTGAGAGTTTTATCAGTTCGGAAATGGTTTTTAGATCGCCACTCAATGATAAGGAAAAGGAGACCAATTCTGGTAAAAAAGATAGGGAACCTGATGATAGTGACTCTGACACTATTAAAGACGTTGATGAAAAAATGGAAAACATTAATAACCCCGAAACGATTCCAGACAGAAATGAGAGAGGCGGAGCTTTTAGTCTAGCTCAGTCAAAATTCAATGACCCTCTCGATAATTTCAATTTAAAAAGTTCAAATAGATATTCGGAAGACCTGAAAGAATCTGCTCAGCTTAGACCGGAAAAGAATATCAAGGATATGAACGAATTTTTTGATAATCTTCGAATTTGGGCTAATGATACCACTGGTCCTCCACCAAAACCGAATAGAGACAGTCTTAAATTAAATTTTGGAAGTTATATTCCAACTCCCAATAGAAAATCAGTCAAATTCAGTGAGGTGGATCCACGAAAACATTTGTCAACCATTGTAGAAGAAAGTCCTTACTTGAGTCAAAGACGTGTATTGGATAAAGAAGAAGGTTATGATACGGTTGACATAACCTCTGATGATTTCGTAAATAAAAGAAGACCAAAACGGGATGAATTAGTATTTAGACCCGATCATTTTTCTTTAACTGAAACGGAATTAAGAGAATGTGCAGAACAAGAAGCCAGATATAAAAATGAGAGGTTGAATAGAGAGCGCAGTCAACATGAACAGGAATATGTAAATCCGTTTTCTATGCCAGGAAATCGTTTTCAACAAGTTGATTCAAATTTTCAAGGTCAACCAACAATGTATTTTCAATCAGATTTTACTTCACGTAATATTCCACAATATTCGGGGAGTAATGTGTTACCTGTATCGAATACTCGTCGCACTGGTGAATTTTCTTCAATAAATGAACCAGTATATGTTGATATGCATAATTTACATATTTCCAATCGAAATATGCCAACTAATTCAAATGTTGCTATGATGCCTCAAAACTCGAGTGCTGACCGTATTCAGCATCCGAGCATAAATCCAAATAATTTTTTCGCATCTGCACAGCCGAGTAACTATTTTCAAGACAATTTTCCTCAAAATTTACAACAATATCGTAACGTACCCACACAGACAGTCTTTAACCCGCCTAATCAGGCAATGTCAGCGCAACAGTTGGACCAAGATGCAACTAATGACCATGAGATTAGACGACAATTTCTTCGTCGCCTTAAATCTATTCCAAAATTCGATGGTAGTTCGTATAGAGAATTAATAGATTTTGTTGATATCTCTGACACATTGTTTAGATCGTGCATGAATGAAGCGGAAGAAAATGAGTTTTATGAACAAATGATACTCCAGTTGCGTGGTGAAGCGAAGCAAGTTATTTCTAACTCACGTAGTTCAGACTGGGATACAATCAAATCAAAATTGCAAAAACACTTTTCTTATCTTGCAAACAAAGAGGTGTTGACCAGTCAATTAGAAAACATGCGTCAAGAAAAGGACGAATCATTGGCTAAATACGCTGAACGTGCAAGAAAAATGCTTCAAGAGAAAAATTCCGTTTATAAAGTTTTGACTGAGGATCAAAAACTGGAACATAGTCGAATGGCCCGTAAAGCATTTGCAAAAGGCATACAGAATAGCAACCTTAAAACTAGACTTGTTACGCGTGGTGCCAGCTCATTGGAAGATGCAATCGCTTATGCAATCGAAGCAGAAACCGATGAATTATATGAAATTCCTAAGCGGGAATTGTACTGCAGGCATTGTAGGCTAAATGGCCATCGCGAAAAATTATGTCGCTTCAAAAACACGGATAATAACGGAATAAATACATTAATTTCCGCATTACAGTCTTTCAGTGCAAGTAGGACACCGAATAGAAATAATCGCGATGGTTCCAATCGATTTGGTCAAGTTTTTGACAACGATCGCTTTAATCAAGGTTGGGATAATATTAATAATAATAACAATAATAATAGTCTATTCTTCAACCGGAACTGGAATACGCGCAATAATAATGGCCAATCGAATCAGAATTGGTTCGCCCGAAATAACAACTCCAATTCTAACAATAATTCCAATAACAACCAAAAATCGGAACTGGTCCGATCAAAGGGCTAATCAATAACAACCCAACCAGAATCGTTTTCCACAGCGCAATGATAATCGTATAAATCAAAGATTAAGTAACATCCTTTTGGGTGGTTTTGAACTTTCTGACGACGAGTATCTTTCGGAAAACTAGAAAGGGTGGATCAAGAAGGGTGCTCCATCCAACACAGCCAATTTAATAATCAATTTTCGTACGATAGAAAACGATGAGGAAACTTCAAACGCGCTAAAAAAAAACATTGAAATCTTGCCAAAAAACAGAGCTAAAAAAAGCATTGAAATAAGGCACAATATTTATAGTGAGAATGGAACATCATATATCTGAGTGTGAATATGAGTGATAGGCCAGTACGATTAATGGAAGATACCGGGGCAGCGATATCTATCCTTGAATCAGATATTGTGCTTGAGAGTGTGAGAAAGGTCGATTATACTGTTAGTTTGTTCGGTATCGTCGGTAAAGAAGTTTCGGTAAAAACCGAGGGAATGGTCGTTGGTTTATTCAAAATGAGTAAACAATCAATCAGCACAACGATGCATTTGATAGATCGCAAGTATGCGGGCCCTGGAGATGGTTACTTGTTTTACGAATAGTTAATGGCCTTTGGTGTGATTGTTGGTATGAATGAAATGTGTATGAGATTTATGAATGAAATGTGTATGGAATTTATGAATGAGATGTGTGTGAAATTTATTTGAGATAATTTAGGGTACCAGTTATGTAAGATGATACCAATGAAAGTTAACTAACAAAGAAAGTAATAAGGCCGAAATTAAAATTGAAATTGACA